GGGTGGGTGCTGGGGAGCACAGAAGGTATCGAGCTGTGGCCACTTGAGGAGTGTGTCGATTTTTAAGTACTCTGCACCTCATTGCTTCAGCTAATTCATCTCACTTGCAGCAGACAGGAGCTGGCTGCCCATAAACCTATGTTAGCTCACATTATTATTAGCCAGACCATTATGTCCTCAATAAATGATTTTTTTTTTTTTAAACTCCTTACACTCATAGATCTCCATGTACTCGAAGGAGGTATCAGTACAACAGAGTTAAGAAGAAGAGTGAGCAAAACAACGTGTTTGATTTAAAAGAAATCCAGTGGCTGTTCAGTCAGCACCACCAGCAGCAGAGCCATCAGTCAAAGCACGGCATTACTCACCCTCCCGCCTTCCCTTACCAGTGCCTAGGAACTGGGTAGATAAATATGGGAGAGCAGTGAATTTGGGGCCATTTAATGTAAAGCAACAAATCACAGAACCAGTACACAGTCATTCTTTTCTATTTGCTACAGTAAGATTACTTCTGAATCTCTCGGGGTGCAGAAAGGTTTTGGCAAACTACAGAAGGGTTAGAGAAAGAAGTGGAGTTGGGAAGACTGACCGACTAACCTTACGAGGAAACCTAAGATAGCTGTAACCTTGGAAAGCCTTATTACAAGGTAAAGTGAGACAGAACAGACTTCCTACACTGACCGATCTGCATGTGGAGATGGAGGTGTAAGTTAAATTAGTGGATTTTAAGTGTGCACTGTATCTGGAGGTAATAGAGGAAAACTAAGAAAGGTGATCTCTAAGCGTAATATTTGAAATAGCTTCCTGACAGCAAAATCTCATGAAAGAAACTGAAAGACCATCACTTGTAGAGCGCAAAATCAGACATGGCATACCAATAGAAAATGTCATAAAAAGAATTATCTTACGTTGTCAAGTATTTAAGACAATTGATTGCACGCTCCAGATCTTTCCCCCGCCTCTAATATCCATCATTCCTTTGCCTGTTGGCAAAGCCAGGAAGAAATAAAAAGACAAACCTTGGGAATAAATGTAGGTGCAGATTTTTATGAAGTCTTTGACCTTCCTCATGAGAACCTAGTGATCTTTAAGCAACTTTTGTTATATTGTTTACTGGCACGTTCAGTCAACACTAAAGCATCCAGATAGTGTGGCATGAGTCAGGTAAAGCAAAACTTTACTTTTACTGTAAACTAATCTAGTGCAATGCATGTCTGAAATGCAACAAAAAACCAAACCAAACCAAAAAGACAAACCACATCAGTGATCTGACCTTCCTGCAGAGATCCTCAATCTATCATCACGCTGAGCTGGTTAATTCAGAGAAGCACTGCAGAAGCACAGCTATCCAAGTCCAAGACTTCAGGCCTACGCTAGTTTATGCAAAACTAAATTGCATGTCTGTGCATTCATAGTAGACTTAACCTGCAATCCAAACAATCTGCCTATGAATAACAGTTGACTGCATAACAATGCAACATTTCAGTAGCTTACTGCAGCTATGATCATGCTATCGTGCTAGAAAAGATGCGCAACTTCACTGCAATATTCTGCTGACAGCACAGGCTGTAAAGAATACAACTGATGTGAAGTATAAAAGGAATGAAATTTTTGCTTTTAAGAGAACATGGGGCCTTACAGAATACCCACATGAAGGAAAAATACAGAATTTTTCCAAGAGCAATAAATGCAGTAAAATACATTTTAAACTTTAACTTAAAATCTACAGGAGTTGAGACAAAAAAAGTAATCAAAAGTATTGTGTAAAGTGAAGAGTAAAATGAAAGTTAAAAGATGACAGCTGTCAAAAGACAAAATTTAATTATGTGTGCCCCAAGTCACTTGCACTGCACCCATCTCGTATGTCTAGTGCCTAGCACAAAGTTTGCTTCTTTGAATATTACCTTCCTGTTTGTATTGATAGCTTACAAGAAGATCAAGAAGGTGACGGGGAGAGAGCTTAATATTTCCATGAAGGGGGCGGAGGGAGATAATTAAACTTCAGTCACTAACTATATCTTGTCTTCATATTTCAGGAAAAATATTAGGGGCATAGAAATAGAAAATCCCTACAGTAAGAAGGTGGCACCTACTTTTAGTCTGTAGGTTTACAATCATTTAAGAATATATTTTTTAATGTCTTTCTAGCTGCTGTGTGGACTGTAGAAGAACTAGTAATAGCCAATATACTGAAGCATAAAGTGCAGCATCTGTCAACAGTTAGAGAAGGATCTCACCGCAGTCTCAGTTATCACTAAAAACTCCTAGAAATTGCTTACTTTAAACAACATCCTCAGCGTCTGAGGTTGATCTAAAAATATCATTCTTGCTATTACTCACTTTGATCCCAATTTTGCATGTTTCAAAAGGCCACTGTTAAGTAAAATACAACCACAAGAAAATCTGAACTCAGGAACTTAAAAAAAAATTTGTCCAGGTGGAATAGAACAAAAACTGGTAAAAGTTTGGCTTGCTGTAAATTCAACTTTAGAAGTTCAGAAAAATATTTAAGCAGACATATAGGACTTGCTAGCATTATCAATCCACTCGGAACTACTCCTCTAAATGCAGTGGGCATCTTAAAAGGACTTTGAAAGTAGCCAGGATACCCCATGCATTCTAATACTGTCCAGTATTTCCTCAACAGAAAGATGAATCTGTTCAGAAGAGGAGCCTCCTTGCCAGGAAACAGCATTAACACAGCAATTTTGACTCAGGCCATTTATAAATTCAGCTCCTGAAACTGAAAGCAGGTATTTCCGAGGAGAGGCTATTTCATTCGTATGCAGAGACATTCATTACCCTTCTTCATTCCACTCTAAGTACTAAAAAACAATTATTTTTCAGCTTGGTGCAAACTTAGCGAACACCATCTCCCCTCAGTTGCAAGGTTTAATTTATTTGTGCAAGGGAAATCATAGAATCATAGAATCGTTTAGGTTGGAAAAGACCTTTAAGATCATCCAGTCCAACCATTAACCTAACACTACCAAGTCCACCACTAAACCAATTAAGGGTAGAGTAATAATGAATTTCACGTTTCTTGGCTTGGTGGCTGGTTTATTTTTTAATGAAAATAAAACTAGGAATCGTTAAGGTTGGAAAGGACCTCTAAGATCGTCAGTCCGACCACCAACCCAACACCATGCCTACTAAACCATGTCCCAAAGTGCCACATCTACACATTTTTTTAAATGCTCAGGGCACTTCGTGTGCATATGCAGCAAAGCAGCACATGCACATATGTACCCATTCCCTTCTCCACGCTGCCGGTGCGAGTTGCGATCATTGCCCTGCTCCCCCCCCAGCAATGCCTAAGCTCTGATGCATCCCCAGATGTGATGCCACAGCCACGCTCTGTCCCTCCGGGGACACGGGAGGCCCATGAGGATGAAGCAGAGGGGGTCCCACGCAGCTTTGCACTGGAGCTGGAGTTGCCTCTCCTCGCAGGACCCACACCAACAGGTACACTGCGTTTACTCTAACACATGGCATCTGCCAGACAAGTGCCTGTAGTTAGGTCTGGCACATATCCCTACCTGTACTCATGCCCACTACATTACCCTGACACACTGCATACCAAAACATTTTCACAAAAACCTGATGATTCACAGTGTTGTGTGCACCAGTATTTAGGAAAACCAAGAGAGAAGCATATGTGGCTTGCTGGGCTGTGCTCAATAATTTTATAAGGTGTGAATATAACAGTATTAAAGAACAATAACATATAAATACAGGTTACAGCTGAAAGGTGAATTGATAGCCAGTTACTCTGACATTAAAAGACACTGGGATGGAACTCTGACCGAACTTAAGACAAAAACATAATAGTAAAGAATATGTATGAAGACTTCTAAAATTACTGTTAACTCTCATTAGAAAAAAACCCCACATGGCTGTTTCAGTATACCAGCTGTCAACATCACCCCTAAGCCTCCTGTTTTTATTATGCAGCAAAATGTGTCTCAAAAGTCCAGATGCCTACAGCCATCAGCAGTCCAGGAAAAAAGGTGCAAGAACCTACCATCACCAAAAATGTGAGTCATGAGCTTTGTGAGCACTTGCTTCAGGTTGAACTCCACCAGCCTCACTGCCTCCATGGTGTGACACTCTTGCTTGTGCGCAGTGCGATGACCTTCCTCAAACAACTGTAAGCCTTCACCATCTTTAATGCTGGAGAACAACTAGAACAAAACCACAAAAACACCAGTGTTTTGCATCAATGACTTTCTCAGCAAAAACAGAGAATGAAGTTTTATTGATTTAAGTGGGAATCTTACCTGCTAAGTCTGCACCATGAAAAACAAATGTAAAGACTGTTATTTTATACAAATTCTGTTCACTAAACACAGAGATAAATCATCACAAGAATGGAAATATTCAAACAACAAGATTTGTTCTATTTCTGTACCATATATTCAAATAATATGTTATATTGGGTTTGCGTGGCAAGGTTTTGTTAGCAGGAGGGCTGCTTCTGAGAGAGGCTGCTAGAAGCTTCCCCTATGTCCGACAGAGCCAATGCCAGCCAGCTCCAAGATGGACCCACCGCTGGCCAAGGCCGAGCCCATCAGCAACAGTGGTAGCACCTCTGGGATAACATATTTAAGGAGGGGAAACAAAACAAAACAAAAAAGGGCCAGGACACAAACTGCAGCTGGAGAGAGGAGTGAGAATATGTGAGAGGAACGACTCTGCAGACACCAAGGTCAGTGCAGAAGGAGGGGGAGGAGGTGCTCCAGGCACCGGAGCAGAGATTCCCCTGCAGCCCGTGGTGAAGACCATGGTGAGGCAGCTGTGCCCCTGCAGCCCATGGAGGTCCACGGTGGAGCAGATACCCACCTGCAGCCCGGGGAGCAGCCCACGCCGGAGCAGGTGGATGTGCCCAAAGGAGGCTGTGACCCCGTGGGAAGCCCATGCTGGAGCAGGCTCCTGGCAGGAACTGTGGACCCGTGGGGAGAGGAGCCCATGCTGGAGCAGGTTTGCTGGCAGGACTTGTGACCCCGTGGGGGACCCACGCTGGAGCAGTCTGCTCCTGAAGGACTGCACCCCGTGGAAGGGACCCACGCTGGAGCAGTTCATGAAGAACTGTAGCCCATGGGAAGGACTCACATTGGAGAAGTTCGTGGAGGACTGTTTCCCGTGGGAGGGACCCCACGCTGGAGCCGGGGAAGAGTGTGAGGGGT